GCAAAAGGCAGAAGCAGATGGCGAGGCAACTTGGACTGGCGTGCAAGCGAGGGGGGGCGCGTTTTTCTCTCCACTCCAGTAGTCCAGCCGAAGGGGGTTGCTTGTCCAACTCTGTGATCGCCAAGTAAACGCCTCACCAACTGAAACAAAAGCGGGGTGGAGAAAATGAGGCCAGCTTCGGGTCCGGCCCGGGGCCCGGGGGAAGGTGGCTGCCTCCCTCTCGCTGACCGATGCCAGTATGCGACGCGACAAGTTGCTTGCTGACTTTTGCCGCGCGCATCCATCCGCGCTTCGCTTCTCCGCTCGGTTTGCAGGCCGGTCCGTCCGTCGGTCCAAACCGAAGGCTGGCCAGTGGACTCGGTTCCGCCTCCGGGCAGAGAAGCCTGCCGAGCAAGCTAGAATGCTTCCTCTTTTGCTGATCATCTCACCACGCGAGAACGCACGGACGCGAATGGGAATGAATAATAATGGCGCTGGAGAAGGTTCTGCTAGTGCTAGGTATTTCGTTTGACTGCTAAGCTGGAAAAGTGGAAATATGTGCCTTCTTTTTTTCCCTCGGTGTGGCTTCTGCTGAACGGTTCAAATTCGTGACTTTCTGATGATCCACGACCGGAATTCGGCTGCAGCCTGCAGGAAATCCAAACTTGCCATGTGTGTACCCTTGTTACGACTTTCAAAATAACTAGATATAGTGATTGCCGGTGTAACTCAGGCCCCGTTTAGATGCCCCCAAAACCCAAAAAATTTTACGCGATCTACCAAACATCGAATCTTGCTCTACAAATGTAGAGCAAAAAAAAACTAATTGCACAGTTGGGTGAGAAATCATCCATTTAAACTTTCGAACCTAATTAGTCCATAATTATACACTAATTGCCAAATAAAAATGAAAGTCTTCTTGGTGTAAAAACTAAACGGGCCTCAGTTCTTTCGAAATACTCGTAGAGGTAGAATATACGTGTGTGCGTTTATAGATGTGAGTGTGCGTCGTGAAAAAAGGAAATTGTTGAATACAATTCCATTGTTCAGTACTATATTGTGTAGTAGTTGTGTACTACAGCTGTATGCCAGTATATATGAGGCGAAGAACCGAAAACGGCCGCTAGCTTTACGAGCAGTGAGTAGCTGTCTCGCTCAGGCTAACGGACCAAAAGTATTGACCCAGGGCCGAATACTACCCTACCCAAGGCCGAAACCTAATAAAGTAGAAAGGCCCAAGAAAAATCGTTGAAGTAGAAAGGTCTTTTCAAACGACGTACATTCCTCTTCCGAACGAGACCTCAGGCCCAAGAACAAACTTCGATGAAGTCGAGGTGTTCCATTTTGCACTAGCCCATTCTGTATGCGCATACTAAACGAGGTTTCTGTAGCTGTGGTTGTAAAGCTAGGCCCAGCTACATACATTAAAATCAGGCCCGAATGCTTCCAGTTTTTTGAGGGGAAGTTTCGCTACCGAGTTAGATTTTGTACTTCCTTTTGGTTTTTTCCGCGAGAAGATAGATAAATTACAGAAATTTGGGCAGGTACGAGTTTGTATTCTGTTTTTGCAATTCAGTCACGCACGTACGAAATGGCGAAACGCGGTCCTCTCCTGATGCACATGGTCGCACGTGCACGGCCCACCTGCTCGGGTCGACAAACTCACCCGCACGACACGAGCCAGGAGTCAGTCGTCTCGCCGCACATGCGAGCGAGACTCTGCGAGGATCCCAAACCCTAGCTAGTCTCCTCTCTCTCTCTACGATTTCACCTGCCCTTACTGCACGTACTACCAGCAAGCGTTCGGTGTGGATGGATTAATAATCTTCATTGCTGCGAGTTGCAGGAATCCGCCCGTTGCGAGTGAAACAGCACCACATTTCCGGCTGCAGGCGAAAGCTGCAGCGTTTTTCTCAGAAGATGGCAAGCTGCCGTCGGCGATTTTTCAGTGCGGGAAGGCTGCAGTTTTTTGTACACAAATGACAAAAGCCGTGGATCCTGAAGCAATCACTGTAACAATTGCCTGTGTACGTACATGGGCTCACCGTCTGAGACTCTCAGTGTGACAGTGTCAGCACTCACAAGAGTCACAGTAATAATACTCTACCTATGTTTCCAGCAGCATGCATCATCAACCAACGTGCCGAAGTAATAAAACAAGAGGCTCTTCTGCGCCAGTGGACGGTGGTGTTGGCTTTGCCACTTGCCACGCCACTGCTTTTCTGTTCAGAGTGCCGAGCGAGCCTGCAGTTTTCACATGTGCAAAAGACTAGCGCCTTGTCCGGGTTGGTTTATAAATCATATTTTTTCCAGTCAATAAATAGTATTTTTTTTTCATATCAAATTAGTTAATGGTATTTTCAGCCATGACTTATGAACCCAACAAACAAGACGTACAAGAGTTAGGTAATGTACTCCAGTGGCAGTGCAAGCGTGGAGGTTGGTAATGTACTCTGCCTCTGGATTAAGTGGCGGTGCAAGCGTGGAGGCCTGGTCACTGTCTGAAGGTACTGCCTCTGGATTAAGCCAACGCTTCGTGCACCACGTCGCTATTACTAGGTCATTAGGTGCTGCTCATTCCCTGTGCCCTGACGCCGACCTACAACCAGAGCACAGTAACAAAGACTGTCGGCCTGTTCGGGAGGCCGACGAGTATCATTATTTATCAGTAGAGAAAACACAAAAATTTATGATCTTTACGTAAGATCGAAGATCGAAAGGCAGACCTCACCTCAATCATTGAGCAAGCACGACCAGTCTCCTGTGATCCAAAAGAATGGCGTTCTGTGTGTGCAACCGAATACCAGAAAAAAACAGTGCTAGTATGCACTAGCATGCTAGTGATTCTCTTGCTTGTTTTTTTTTTTTTTGATAAAATACTCTTGCTGATGTTTATCACTCTGCTTTCTCATAAACCCCTCCAACGAATCTTGACAGCGACAAACCACGCGACAACGAGAACAAGAACAAATGGTAGGTCGGAAATTACCCAAGAGAGCCATCCACCCAACAATAATACAGCTTCAAAATCCAAAATTCCAATCGCAACAAGTAATCGCCGCCATTCGCCCAGAAATGCCAGTCCCTGGCTCACTCACCACCGGTCACGCCGCCACACTGTCAGCATCTACTGTGACGGTGACTCGCGGCCAGACGGCCGTCGGAAAGCCAGGCAAGCGGCGACGGCCGAGATCTCGGGGATCACGGCGATGGGTTTGCTGTGACATTGCGGCGGATACGGACAAGGACAATCTCATGTCGGAACGGCCGCGATCGCGATGCAGCTTTGCAGGCGTGCGGCGAGCCGGCGAAATGGAGAATGGAGATGATGGTGCCCCGGCCGCGGCCGTCGCTTTGGTGGTTTGATTGATGAGGTGACCGCGGCAGGTGAGCTAGCAATAGCACCTTGTCCACGCCAAGTCGCCAAGGCAGCAACACCCTGGTTGCGGCCAGCCGGGCATTCAGAGGGCGGTGCGGTCTCGACGTCTCGTCTCAGTATCCACGCCACGCGCGGTGTCTCGTGTTTACATGATGCACCGACAATCGGTTTATTTAGCTAATAAGTTAAGGTTAAAAGTACAGTGGGTTGATTTAGTGTGAGGGAAAAATACTATTCATTAACTAAAAAAGTATGTCTTATAAGTCAAACCAGTCCAAGCGAACAGGGTGAATGGTCTACAGCATATTCACTTGCTCGTATCTGACTTATAAGTCATGATTTATCAGCCAACGAATAATAATTTCATGGCTTATAATCTAAACCAGCCCCGCGATCGGGGCCCTGGACCCGAAACCACGGCCAACTTGCAGCGAAGTTTGTCAGATCAGTTGACGTACCCATGCCCGTACACCGAGTACACGAAGGAGGCTGGATGGTGCAGCGCAGTAGCGGACGACGGACCTACCCCTACTCCAAGAAGAAGCCACGAACGGATGCACGGTTTCCGGGGGACCAAAATCATGGCCACCAGTTGGGTTTCTGTTTCTCTGACAGCATTATTGGGTTCTATGTTAAGAGATGACCACCCAAGCCAACTAAGCGCGTGTTTAGTTACGTAAAGTTTGGATTTTGGGCTCATGTAGTACTTTTCAGTTTTTATTTAGCAATTAGTGTTTATCATAATCATGGACTAATTAGACTTAAAACGTTCGTCTCGTAATTTTAAACCAAACTGTGCAATTAGTTTTTTTCATCTATATTTAATGCTTCATACACGTATCGCAAGATTCGATGTAATAGATACTGTAGACTTTTTTTGAAAATTTGGATAGAAACTAAACACGCGCTAAGCAAGCATTCCCCTTCCCTTCGCTTTCCTGAGGGCTGGGGGACATCTGATCCGAGTGCTCCCAAGCAAGTTTTGGCCTCCATCTCTGGCCAGGGATTCCCTATTCTATCTGCATGTACTTGTGCTTCCCGGGATTATGAACACAGGTGTCCTTGGCCCAGGCACCGAATAATGGACCGAAAAAAAAATCATTTTGTAGGCTGTATAGCTCGATCGATTGATGCTGCTCCATTTCTGATTTTGTGTAGTCACTGCTAGAATAGAATATCACCCGTTCTTATCTGTTTTTATTTTTAAAAAAAGGAACGTTACAGTACAAGACTGAGAAAGTCTTGCTGCGAAGCAGTAACCATGCGCGATACGATCATACGAGTACAAGAATTTATTGCTCCCTCGCCGTTCTTGAGTACCTGACCTCTGAGCTTGCGTTTTCACAAGCGGAGACGCGCAACGTTAACACCACCAGCAGCCAGCTCGCATCGAAGCACACGATGTCCGCGACGCCGTCGCTTTCTCGCCCCACGCTCAGATCTCCGCAGGGCCCCCACGTCCACGGCACAGACCCCGCCCTTGTCTTACCGACGGCCACCGCTGCCTCCCCTATATAACCCACCCCTCCGCCCGTCTCAGTCTCAGCGGCCGTTTCCTCGGCATCTCAAGGACTCCTCACTCCCGCACCGCACCCGAGACGCAACAGGCTTACAACACACTCCGGTTGAAAGCGCCGCAGCGATGGTGGACGTGGACCACCGGATGGCGGGGCTGGCCCCGTCGGTGGCGCACACGGCGGCGCTGCGGCGCCTGTCCACGCGCGCCGCCGCGGGTCTTTCATCGGCGTCCGCGTCGCCGCGCCACGGGCTGCACTCCTTCCACGCCGTGGCGGCGGGGGTGCACTCCCACCTCCGCGACGCCGCCGGGGTGACCGTCCTCCCGGGCCTCTCCGACGCGGAGTTCGCCCGCGCGGAGGCCGAGTTCGGGTTCACGTTCCCGCCCGACCTCCGCGCCGTCCTCGCCCTCGGCGTCCCCTCGGGTCCCGGGTTCCCGGACTGGCGCGGCCGCGGCCGGGCGGGCCTTCGCGCCGCGTTCGACCTCCCCGCGGCGGCGGCGTCGCTCCAGGTTGCGAGGGGCGCGCTGTGGCCGCGGTGCTGGGGCCGGAGGCCCGCCGACCCGGACCGCGCCCTGCGGCTCGCGCGCTCCGCCATCCGCCGCGCGCCGCTGCTCGTGCCGCTCTTCGACCGCTGCTACCTGCCCTGTCGCCCCTGCCTCGCCGGGAACCCCGTCTTCTTCGTTGCCGACGACCGTGTCCTTTGCTGCGGCCTCGACCTGCTCCACTTCTTCACCCGCGACTCGTTCCAGCCGACGACGATGGATCACGTCGTCTCCTCCTCTCCGCTCGCGTCCCCTCTCTCCGCCGGCGCGGCCAGCAGCAGGTCGTCGTGCACGCGCCGGAGCCTCGACGCCGTCCAGGCCCCGCGCTGGATCGAGTTCTGGAGCGACGCCGCGTCCGACCGCCGCCGCCGCGACTCGTCGTCCTCGGAATCCTCCACCGCCTCCTCCTCCTCCTCCTCCTCCTCCTCCTCGTCGTCCTCAGGCTGCCCGTCGCCACCCCGGCGGTCAACCCCGCGGTGGGTCGACAACTACCTCGACGAGCTCGGATCAATGCTGAAGAAAGGCGGGTGGAGGGACCGAGAAGTGGACGAGATGGTCGAGGTCACCGCCTCCGGGTTCTTCGACGGCGAGGAGGCCGGGGCCCCAGCACCCGATTCCGAGGCTATCCTCGACGCGCTGGTCCTCAAGGCTGACCGGTGCTCGGACTCGCTCCGGCGCGCCGGGTGGACCTCCGAGGACGTGTCGGACGCGCTGGGGCTCGACTTCCGGCGCGGCAAGGAGCGGTCCCGGTCGGCCGTGCGCATCCCGCCGGAGATCGCCGCCAAGGTCCAGCGCCTCGCGCAAGCGCTGGCACGCCCGTGACCTCGATCGATCGATCTCCTCGTTCCCGCCGCCCGGACGCTGCGCATTCTTTGTTATCTCCGGTCCGAATCAAAGTACACTAGTATAAGTGAGAAAGTAAACTAGGCCATGTTCGCGCCGCGCGCATGAGCGCGCGAGTAAATTATGCCGTGCTCACGTGCGCCAAGCACCGTTCGTTGTAAGATACAGTGTCCATCAATATTCTGCGTTCGTTGTAAATTCGCCGAGAAGGCACATTTGCACAGTAGTAGTTAAAAGAGTTAAATGCATTGGGCATCTATTAACATGTGACGATGTTTTAGTTAGGTCCATCAATTTTTAAAGTGGTTTTTTTTGGGTCATTATATTTTGTACGTCGTATCACTTAGATTTATATCTCTCCACGTTGGCTTCTCGTGCTGATGTGGCATGATGACTAGGCTGAAAACAGCCCAGCAGGCGCGCGAGCATATGCCGATTCCGTCACCGTGGGTGCGCGAAAGCAGGCGATGGGCGAAACCGCCATCGCGGCGTCGCGAGGAGGTGCTGCGCCCGCCCGCCCGCCCCGCGCGCGCGCGGCGAAGCTTCCGCCATGCCACAAAAGGCACGCGTTCAGAGGGGAGTTCCGCCACACGCGAAATCCCAGCTCGGGCGGTGGAGTCGCTCGACGTCGACCACAACTTCTTCAACAACACGTTCCCAACGGCGTCGCGGCGCTTTCGGCGGCGGCGCTTGCCGTGCTTTCGATGCCTACAACAATCGCTTGCCACATTGCACGGCTTCATGCGGCTGCGTCGCTCTCAGGCTGGCTCAACCTCGGCGGCAGCTTCTTCAACGAGCGTCCGGCCGAGATCGGGCAGCTCAGCTGCTGCGCGGTTTCCCGCATCTCGCCGGAACGCTACCGACCAGCGGCTCCTTTGAGCTCGCGCGCTCGCGTCCACTGGAGCAATGGAGATCGAATACAATTCCTACGACGGTGGCGTTCCCGCGGAGCTCGGCAACATGACGGAGTCGTTCTGGAGCTCGCCGGCCGGATCTGAGGAGGAGAAGGAGGGCGGGGCTGCGGAGTTCACTGGAAAGGGAGGGGCAGTGGGGTTCGCCTTGGCCATGCTCACCGCTGGGGGCAAGGGAAGCCTCACCGCGGGGGAGCCGGAAGGGTGAAGGGCGGCGGCGCCTCGAGCTCTCGTCGGAGGAAGCCGCCTAGAGAGCGCAGCTCGCGCCAGCGGTGGCCGCACTGGTAGCCCTGGGCACCAGAGGCGCTCGTGAGCTCCGGCGACCGTGGCTCGCCTTCCCTCCGTCCACGACTTCGAGCCTACTGCTCTCCCTGTTCCAAAGATGGATGCCAAAGCTCTCACCTTTGATGTTCTCCTCTTTGGCCTTCACCCACCTCTTGTCTTTCCTATCCTTGGGTGCAACGAATAGTCCTCCAATCTTACTCCAATGCACGGGGTAGAAGGCTCGCGGCGGCGGCACCGTGATGGCGAGATCGGGAATCTCGTGGCGTAGCCTCGCTACCACCCAGGACACAAGGTACGGCCATTGTGGCCCCACTTGCTCCCGTCGAATGCGGTGGCGAACTCGACGATGAACTCGTGCAGCATGGGTGCACCTTGTCGAACACCATCACGGCGTTGTTCAGTCACCTCCGGTCGCCGTGGCGTCGTCCCACGGCTCTGCGCTCCAATGGCGTTGCGGAGGTTGGAGAGCGGCTTTGAGGGCGCACGACGTCGGCGTCGAGTAGATGCTTGCACCTTTGAGCGGTCTGGCGGAGGAGGTTGGAGAGGTTATGCTGGCGGGGCGCTCCGGTAGCCGCCGCTCTGTTTAGATAGCCCTGCGGCGCTCCCCGCAGCCACGCCAACTTCCCCGTGGTCGCGCTTGCCTCGTGCCCCCGCGACCACGGCGGCACTCGCGCCGGCGGTGGCCCTACACCGGTAACCGCGGCACCGGCCACACTCGCGCGCCGGCGGCGACCGTGGCTCGCCTTCCCCTCCATCCACGACTTCGAGCGACCGCGTCACGGCAGCTCCCGGGCGCGCTCACGACTGCGCCTCCCGGACGCGCCTCAAGCTCTCGTCGGAGGAAGCTCACCGTCATCGCCGCCGGCCGGCTGCGCGCGAGGCGCGAGGCGGCAAGACCGCGCATGGCGGCGGCGGCGGCGGCGGGCGCGCACATACCGCTAACGTCGTTGTCGGGCGTGGCGGATGACCGCGTTCTAGAGGCTGGACTTCATTGCCCGCGACGTGATGGATGCGGTGGTGTGGTGGCTAACCAGCAGCAGTAGACCGGCGGTGCGGGTCCCGAGCGCGCCGCCGCGCTAGCCTCGATCGGCGCCGTCATGGTGCGGGTCCTAAGCGCGCCGCCGCGCTAGCCTCGCCCGGCGCCCGTCGGTTCTGCTCACACGCCCACGGGGCTGCGGCTGGCCTGTTTTCAGCTAGTCATAATGCCACGTCAGCACGAGAAGCCAACGTGGAGAGGTATGGATCTAAGTGATACGGTATAAAAAGTTTATGGACCTAAAAACCACTTTAGAAGTTGATGGACCCAACCGAAACCTCATCACAAGTTAATAGGACCATTGGTGCATTTAACTCTAGTTAAAAATCGCTCCATCAATATTCTGCAACGGACTAGTGAATGAATCTTTTATAGCCCCTTTGGCAGGCCTAGAATTTGGAATTGACATCGGTAGCCCTAATTCTATTGTTTGGATGGCTTTGGTATTGGCATGTGGAAATGGGCTCCAATATCACCGAGGCATTCGGTCGAACTGCGTAGCCTCGCCCGACAATACCGAGCCCACCTCCTCCGTATTCATCTGAATCGGCGCTCCCCTTTCTTCCCCATGCGACGCGACCTTCCTCTACACCCGTGGAAAAAGAGCCGTGTCAAGCTCCCTCTCTCGCGAGCTCGCTTCCCCATGGCCGCCTCGCGCGCGACCCCTCCCTCTTGCTCGCCATGCGCCCCCGCTGGCGATGCGGGCCCTAGATTCGGCACCGGTGCCGGGAGCGGTACGCCTGCTCAACCATGGAGGTTCCTCGGGGCCTCCCCCATGGCGCAGCCGGAGGTTCCTACTCGCGACCCTTCCTCTTGCTCTCCATGCCCGGGTCGAACTCCCCCATGGCGGCCTCGCTCGCTCCTCCTGCTGTTGGCGAGCCGCCGGGGTCGAGCCCCCCTGGCGGCCTCGCTCCCCCTACTGTTGGCGTGCACGCCATGGATGCCGCCGTCGGTCTCCCCCGCGGTCGATCTCCCACCGAGGTCGCGCTCCGCCCGCCATGAACGCCGACGACGGGTCTTGTCCTAACTGCAGGGTGTGAGCGAGTTTCAATTCTATGGTTTTGCATCCAGGTATTGGATTTGAGCTACTTGCTAGGATTCTAAAAGATAATTCAATGGTCATCCAAACAATGGTATTCGAATTGTGGCCATTTCAATACCACGGCTGCTTTGGTATTGAACCCAATTCAATTCCAACCCCCTCAATATCTACGTCCAAACGGACACTAAACGTTTCTTTGAGTGTGTACTGTTGGATACCGTTAGTACGTTGAAGCTTTAACAGGCCCGGTGGGGTGGGCGCTGATGTTGTCTATAGCTTTGTTTATGATATATCCAAAAACAGATCATGCGAACCTCCTTCAATAGTCCAATCCGACGATAGCTAGCTAGCATGGCCTCCATGGATCAGCAGACAATGCGAGGTCCATGATCGAGTTGCAGTCACGCTTTCACAGGCTGCATGCGCATGTTTTGCTTGGGTGCCCGGCATGAGGAGCATACGTGCAGTTGCCTCCCGGTCGCGACATCCTCTGCTGTTCCTTCTAGCTTTTCTTCCCCCGCGAACTACGCTTTGCGGTGATGATCATTTTATTTTGTGGTACAAGCTACGCCGATTAACAACTCCTAACCACAATTGCCCTTTCCGTATCTGAAAGGAAACGAACATCATGCGTGGAAGCAGTTAGCTAGCCCAAGCACGGACCGACGGGCGCACTCCATGCTCACTTTCCGTGCGCCACGGTGTACCCGCCCAAAAAGAAAGGCTTTGTCCCTTGCTTTCGCGGGGCAATGTCTCCATCGCAGTGGCGCGCGGCACGGGCGCGACGCGAGCGGCCCGTGGAGGCGTACGTGAACAAGGCTGGCGGCCTCTCGCTTTGCTTGTGAGTTGTGAGAGCTGTGTGACCCAGGGCACCCAGCGAGCGGTGGCGTGGCAGACATTCGCCCTGCTCACTTAGGTTTATTTGGCTAATAAGTCATGACTAAAAATACTATTGATTAATTTGATGTGAGAGAAAAATATTATTTATTAACTGAAAAAATACGACTTATAAGGTACACAAGCCCGAGCGAACAGGACGATTAATGCATTCACCGGCGCCCGTTGCCGTGGGGAAGGTGAGGCCCATGGCGTCGCCTTGCGGTTGGCGCCTGCCTAAGACTCCAGTGTGTCCGTCTGCTTGCTTGTTGGTTTCAATTAAAATTTCAAACCAAACCAAATTAAACAACAAGACTTTACTCTATAAAATCAAAGACCACCAAATTTCAAAAACCAAAGACCAAAGACCAACCAAATGAACAACCCGATCATGAACAAGGATAGTGCCCATTCCCAGTTCTGAAAAAGGGAGGCTGGGAGGCAGCTGGCTCTACTACAGCTGACGAACTGACACTGTTCTTGACTAGTACTATTAATGTGCAGGAAATGGTACGGTGTTGCCATCGTCTTGCCTAGTACATCCGCCCTTCACTTTCACAGATACGGCTATCATAATCAGATCTTCACGTAAGCATATGAACTGTTGGGCAGAACTGCACCTGATCAGTCAATAAGCTGACCGCTTCTCATCTACTTCCAAGGATAGTTTATCACACATACTCCCTCCAATCCTTGGTTGCCTTACTATTCAAACTTACTGACCAAGCTTTTAAAAGAATATATATCAACATCACAGGTTCAAACTGTTAGATGGAATAGCTTTGCATTCATGAATGTAACCGTGATATGTGCAACTACTGAAGAAAGG